AGTCTTATAAGGATGAATAGGAATGCTCGTAGTAGGAGGACAAGCTTTTTAAAAAAATATGTACTAAAAGATAATTTAGAGAATTAAGGTTTTCTTTATGGTGAGACTCCTTAAAAAATCCCATCAGTGGAACACCATGTTTTGACCGTTAAATTACTTTTTTAACGGTTAGATCTGCAAGAGAGTAGTTCTATGCGGCACGCTGTAAATTTTTAATATAAATTTACACAAATCTAAACGTTAAAAATTTAATCTAACGGTCAAAACAGAATGTTCTATAATAAAATTTTTTAAGAGGTCTTACCACAGAGGCTTTTAAAAATTAAACAAGACAGATAAAAGTTCGGGGAAAAAAACTAAAAAGAATTAAATTTACCTGCAATGAATGTGTTTGTCAATATCAACCAATGACAAAAATCTATCTTTTAACATTTAGGGATAGAAAATTCGAGCATTTCAACCACAAAAATAAGGTTTATTTTTGACCGTGCATTTTTAGAATTATTCATAAAATTTACTGAGCGTTTTTTATTGTTGTAAAAGTATACCATGAAAGAAAAGCTGCAGATTATTCCATAGCAAAATGTAACATCAAAAGTGCTATACATATATATTTTATTTTATTTTTTGGTAGAAATGCTACTTTAGAGACCCTTTATTTTTCTTGAAAGATGTTTCACATTGGTGAAATATTTTGATATAAAGCCTATAATGTTATTATAGTAGCATTCTATGATCATTGATAGGAAATTCTCACCAAGTGATTTATGCCACCATGACTCCTATTCTCATCTCAAGCTATAATTGCTGCTTCCCATGATTCAATCAGGATTCCCTGTCAATAGTATAGAAGTACCCAATTCCACTTTTTTCCCTTTTCTTCTAAAGGCAATTTCGCTCATGCATAATGCATAAAGAAGAAAGATATCTACTGCTAAATTTAACATAATTAAACATGCTCTTTGGTATATAAAGCATCTTGATTTAAACAAGAATAATAGTTGAGGATCACTACTTATTCTTTGTGATAAGGAATTGTGTTTTTTTAGAATATTTCAAACTAGTTTTGTTAATAAAATGAGACTTTTTTCAGTATGCCTCTTTATTAGTAAATTGATCATTAAATTTAATTAAAATCACATCAACATAAAAAAATATATAAAATAAATAATTTTTTATACAAAATTTACGATTAAAAATAAAAAATTACTCACACTTTTTTTTTTTTTTTTATCTACTAGAGAAACTCTTGAAAAAATTTTGTTTTAAATGAAATTTGCAAGCTCCGTCTTCTATGAAATGTGCTGACAGACAATAATGACACATTTTATGAATAAAGTAGCTTTTCAATATGTGAAAAGTTATACCTTCAAAAGAAAAAATTGTTAAAAATTAAGGAAGCAATTGATCAAGGCCTTTTCTTTTTTTTTTTTTCTTTCTTTCATTTATTTAGGTTCGTTCATTTTGTTGATTTGAGTTTAGAATTTGAATTGAGATGTGATTTTATGTGAGAGTTTTTTACTGTAATAAAAAAGTTAAATGTGATTGTTTATGAGAATTTTTATTATAAAAAAATTTAAATTCTAAACTTGAATCAGCAAAATAAACGGGACCCTAATTTTTATTGGGAGGTTGGGTTAGATGGGTTTGATATCCGACAACCATAAACCTTTTTGTTCGCAGAATCATCAATGCAAGAAACCAACACTATTGTTTTATAATAAAGGACTTCTTTTTAGGGGGTATAATAAAGGAATTTAGTGTCTACTAAAACAAATAAATAAATAACAACAATAGTAATAATAGCAGCGGAAGTTTACCAAAAAAAAAGGGACATAAACTTAAAGGGTCCATGTAGATGGGTGTTTTGGTGACATGTGGCAAAAAACTCATATAGTATGAGAATTTTAAAGGCTCTGTTTTGAACTGATGTACATCAAATTATATTAATTTTCTATTTTCTTATTTTGATAAAATTTTGATCAAATGTAACATTGGTCTCGTTCGTTTCGTTGATTTGAGTTGAGATGTGATTTTATGTAAGAGCTTTTTACTGTAACAAAAAAGTTAAATGTGACTATTTATGAGAGCTTTTTATTATAACAAAACTCGAATCAGCGAAACGAACGAGGCCCGACATGCACTTTCGGTACATAGAGTAACCGTACCATAAAAAGCACCATTGAAATATACCAATACGAAATGCCAAACTAAATATCACACAAATCGGTTATCATGAAAAGAAAAATGTTAAGGTTAGGTTTAAAGGTAGGTTAAGTGTTGTCTCCATCCAATCATTGCCCATCAACTTCATTCATCACGCATAGACTAAGATTACCCGGCAACAAGTGAGTGCACTAACTGACATAAAGAAGTAAATTTTATGTTATACAATATAGTTTATATCGATGTGACATGCCACAAAAATTTGTAGAAATTAATGCTAGAACTACTACATTAGGTATTCCTCATCCGCTATTAGCTAAGCAAGAATGAGATGCAAAACAACTTAAGACAGTAGTTAAATAAAAAAATTTTATGGTAGGGTATGGAAAGACACACCATTGATAAAATAGAATTTTTAATTATCAGATTAAACTAAAATCATATCAATTTTAAAAAAAATATTGCAGTTTAACGAAATTTTATGAAAATACGACAATTAAAAATTACCTTACTAATCATATTTTCTTTTGTAAGCCTTATAAAAAAAAAAAAAGATCTTCCACTTAATTTGAGGGCAGAGGCGCCTATCAAAAAAATTCTTCCACTTAATTTGAGGGCAGAGGCTCCAATAGTCTAAAGTTGAAATTATTATTCCACTAGAATTCGAATGGATTGGTGGAATGTATTGGTTCCTTTGTCACTTGGCAGAGTAACAGAGAAATTAATATTCCACTAGAATTTGGGTGTGAGAATACAATATGATGAGAAATAGTTAAGAAACTACTTCTAAGAAAAAAAAAAAAAAAAGAAATAGTAAGAAACTACCGAACAATTACTAGGATTATCAAAAGAAATTAACAATTTGCAATTTAATTGCCAAATATTGTTTATATATGCATAGAGATTCTTCCAACCTCACTAGGCTTTTGTTTACTATTATTATAGTGTTTATACAAATGATTAGCCCCTTATCTGCAATTATTTTAAAATTGTATGTGGTTTTCTTAGATCTCGTCACATTATGCTTCCATGGTTTTGGTCAATGCACTAAATGAATTAAGTAAATCCTATTTCAAGTAGACTATATATAATGTTTGCCAGCTTTGGGATACTAAATTTACTTATTGGCATAATTATCACTATTATAATGTCAAATTTGACACTACAAGAAAGTGACCTTTTAACTAACAAAACCAATAGAGTATGCAAATTTTTAAGGTCTTTCTTAGAACCAAAAAGCACGGTTTTAGTGGAGGGTATTTTTCAAACCCTTAATTGCTTGAGACTTTCTACCGCAGTTCAAGGGTCAATGTAAGGGTCACTTTTGGTCAATTTGATTCTTTTTCTTTAATTTGTAAATTATTAGTTTGGTAAATTATTGGTGAGTACCTATTTGAACACGTCATAATTAAATTATTTATATCTATCAAAAGAGAGGTCTATTTTGTAAATGTCTTATTCAGTAAGTAATGCTTATTGATGTCTTGTATTGAACGCTTATGTAGTTTCTCTTCTAGAAACAAGAAAGGAAAAAAAAAAAAAAAAAAGAAGAGAGAGAAATTAGGAAATAGATTAGAAAATAATAAGCATTTTACATGGAAATCTCATCTTTGACTTTTGACTCTCACTCATCAGCCGTTCAACTTAGATTCTGCATGGATTTTGTGCCAGGTGTCAGATGGTTATTGGTTTGATGGTTATTTGTAGGTGATTTTGGATCAGCTTGAGCACATGCGAGTCTTCATCAAAACAGTTTACCGAAGAAGACGCACGTCATGCCCACGTTTGTAATTGTGGCAAAGTGCCAACCCCCTGAACCAATGTCTGCCAAAGAGATTCTCTAGTCAATCATAATATTAATTTATTTCTAGACTTTCTCAGGAGGGCTCCTACTAATTTTTTATTATTGGAATAGATTAAACTCACGTTAAACTAAAAAAATATGTAAAATAAATAATTTTTATATAAATTTAAAGATTAAAAAATAGATAACTATTGATAGTTTATTTTTTCTAATTCTATTAGAGAAATCTCATTTCTTTCAGGTAAAATTACACCTTTTCTCTCTGAATTTTGTAACAAAACATGCTTAAACCGTTCATAATAGGACAACGAAATTTTCATATCCCTTTGGTTAATCTAAGGGCAAAAGTTAAAAACCGAGGTGTTCTAACTTGTGAAATTTTCCCACATCTACCCCCTCGGGGCAAATAGAAGTGCTCCTCTAAATTTAAGAGTGGGTATGTTCATAGACTATGCTGAAAAAAAGAGCTTTGAATAAGGGTAAAATTTTAAAGGAGCTAGTGAGTCCGAGGGGCAGCTGCCCCCCTGAGCCTCACCTATCTCCGACTCTGATCTTACATCCCCCCGGGCGTCACCTGTCTCCGCCTCTGATCTTACACTCACCTTCATTGAGGTCTCGAGCTCGATTCCCGCCCGTCTCAACTCCAAAAAGATTATTAAATACTCAGAAAAGCATTCCACTGTTTTTCCTAATTGATTAGTTATATTGAAGCATAACCGGACGAACCCAAAACATTGCAGACAGTATGTTAGAAGTATCAAATGTCAAATTTTAATATGAAATCAGAACTTATGCAACAATGAAAAAAACATGAATGTTTAAGACTTGATGAAGTTAATGGATATACCAATTAACATCACATACTGGACACCTTTTGTCTTCCTGACACAATGCAAGATGCAAAAAAGAGTGAAATTTAAGGTTGACATTATTAGATGGAGTTAATGGTGTAAATAATATTAGCCAATGGTGTAAACCGTAATTCACAAACTTCAATGATGATTAACATTGCTAATAGTAATTCCTTTATTTTACAAGCTACTGGGGAACTTCTAAAGGGGAAAATATGAAATGGTAAAGAAGAGAAACTTTATGGATTATGGATCTCACTACACTTGCAGCAACAAGGCAGAAAAAATGCCACATAAGACTTTCATTGTTTTATACAGAAACTTCCCCAAATGAGAAGCCTGCTTTTGTTTACAAGTTGAAAACTTATTGTCCCCTCTATTCATTTCAACTAGCATGTCAATGAAAAAATTGAGGTAAGGTACATGGTCAAGAATTTTCAGTCCAAGAATCATAGAATCAGTCCATTTAAAGAATCATTGTAAATAAATGCAAACAAATAATAATCCTCAACCGGAGTTCTTCAGAAGGATTCTTGGTTCTTGCTGCTATGAACCTTCCTCGTTGTAAGGCAACTTGCAGGCAGCCATACGGTCTTTCGATTTGAACTTGCCGAGCACCTCGGCAACAGTTCTGCAACGGCATTCCGGCCGGATCACATCACCGTAGACAGCCATTTCGATTAAGTCAAGTTCCTTGTCTGCAACAAATTCACACGCAAAGAAATTTAGACGCATAACTTCTAGGCCCCCTAGTCTTATGCAGCCACATTTGGATTCATTTCATGACATTACTAAGTGATGGAAACAGCAAAATTTACCCAACCATAAACAACAATAGTGATTGTTTAAGTGTCGCCAAGTTACGAGAACCAAAATACACATATTGAACATCTTGTGTTTCTTACCGGCATACTGCAAAGTGCAAGAAGCATCATTAGATTAGGAGTACTAAATAGAAACCACTAAAATGTCGTGATTTGACTTTTTATCAGCTCCACGGATATAGACACCAACGATAGATGAGAAAACGTGATTTTGAGTAACAAATATACCACTACCTCATCGACATTTGTTAAATTCAATTTGGCTTTGTGGTTTAGATATGAGTTCCAATACTATAAGGAAAGCCTTAGCGGACACCTTGCCATAAAGTATGCAATGGATGAAAATTTCATGTAAAACCGATTTTGTATCGCAGCATATTCAACTTAATTTAGTCATAACAGAATATAGGATAGGGATTGGATACAAAAAGTTCTGACAATTAACACTGTGACGCCGTCTAACAGAATTGTCAATTACGGATCACATCATAGGCCTGCTTAGAAAGGTACAGGTATGATATTGTAGATGAAAATCACTACATCAGCAGGGAAATTAAACGACCAGAACTTTCTTTACCTTAGTACAACTAACTACTCCCTCAATGCGCATCGAAAGCAATTATAATGAGTCCCTATTTAGGAACTTTGAGTTGAGCTTAGCCCTCTTCCTATCCTAAACCCCTAGAATCATGATTAAAAATATATGGTTGATTTGTCAATTAAGTTTAGTAATTAGTTAGTCTATCAAGCAGAAACTAGGACCTTAGGAAGTCTCAGGGAGGAGTAACTGGATGTGCGGAAGCATTGATGAATCTAAATTGTAACTTGGACAAGAAAAATAACAATTAAGTGGTTTAAAGTCAATATATATATATATATATATATATAGGTTTGATTCTTGAAGTGAACCCCTAATCGCTGAAGAACTACACAGCAAATCAGAACTTACATACAAGTCACTTACAAACTCGGGCTCACAAAGTGGATTCAGAGATTTCTGGACATAAAAAATATCCAAACATAAATTTGCAAGTGAAGCAAAGATAGACATACCAGTAAACTGGATCTCACAAGAATATCCCTTCAACTGAGTTGCATCCACACCATCTTTATCTGATTTGTATCTATTCACTCTAGTTTGAAGAATCTGACAATTTTCAGCAGTGGACTCACCGCCTACAAGACAATCTTCAAACCTTAAACAATCTTGCCACATCAAGAATAACAAAACAAAACAAAACAACTTCTAATTTGTTGAGATAACCAAGGATTTTTTAACTTTAAAAAAAAAATACAACATTATATCATCCTCAGAGTTTATTCTTCCACTAAGCTGCTAAATTCTATTTTCCTACAAAAAGAGTTAATCTCTTCTAGTTTTTTCTACTTATTATGTCAACACTGGCTTCTTTTAAACCCAATTTATATATTTTTTTCCTTCCTTAAAAGTGTCAAAAATCACAAATCCAATACAAACCTTAACCAGAACATTCAAAACTAAATGCCCACTACAAAAAACATGAAAAATAAAGAACCCAGAAAGAAAATGATTAGAAAAGAAGAAAAAGAAAAGACCTTTGGAGAAGGGAACGATGTGATCGTACTCGAAGCAGAGGCAGCCCTGGCAGTTGCCGAAGCGCCGGCAGACGACGTTGCCGGCGGCGTCCTTCCGCCACCTCTCCGGGTGGCGACCGGGGACCGTTTTGGCGTTTGCCCAGCATTTGCTCTTCGCCTTTTTGTCGAAGAATCTCGGTCTCTCTTCGTTGTTGCTGTTAGTATTATTATTACTACCCCGAGAACGAGAAGGTGAAGAAGAAGAAGATGACGGACTCATTTCTCTCTCTTTTTCTATCTTCGTATTGGTTAGAGAAAGAGAGAGAGCTCTGAGTGTTTCTACAACAGAGAAGCGTCAGCACTTCTTCAAAACGATCCTTGGACGCTCTTTCACCGACTCCAAGTTTTTTTGGGTTGATAATTAGATGCCATTTCTCTTTTTTTTTTGTCCATTATTTTTCCATCCAATGAGAAGATGCCCAATAACCAATTATTGCAATGTATACTAATTTTTTATGAATATATACGTAGATTATAAATATATATATATATATATATATTTAGGCGAAATGGATGTATGATTTGATGAAAATGGTATTAGTTGCTTATCAAATAGGACACTAGTTGCTTATCACCAAAAAAAAGAAAAAAAGACACTAGTTGTCTGCCATTTTGTCAGGATAGTTCTCTTTCTAATGAAGCATGTTGTGTAGGGTTGGTAATATGAGTTATTATACAATAACACGATTTAAAAATAACACGAATTTTACAAATTAAAATTGAGAAAAAAGAGATTCAGATCAGAACTGAATCGACATGAAATTAACACGAAAAAAATGAATCAATTTCAAAATAGACCCGCTTAACTCGAATACGATACGAAACTCGTAAAAAACTAAAAAATACATATATTTTTCATTACATATTTTTAATTTTATTATAAACTTATGATATCATAATAATTATACTTAAAATCTTATACTATTATTTACTTAATTTCAATGGATATTATTGTATTTTAATGTGTTATAAATTTTAAGTTATTTCTAATATGTAAAAAAATAAATAAAAATATACAATTTTCGTGTGAATTTCAGATTCACGGGTCAATTTCGTGTCACAGATAATTTTCATATCGTGTCAACCCGTAAAATAATCGTATCGTGTTCGTATTTCAATTTATAGATACAACACGTGACACGAACTATCACTCATAATATTGTGCATCTATACCACGTAGAGTCGGTCACATGCAATGGCGGGCAGGGTACATAGAACAACTTTACCAAGTAGGCTGGTACGGTCAGTCATAAATGGTTTTCCAAACTACTTTGATTTTATTGGTTTTGCCAGAACCATACACATATTTTGGGCTCTGGAGGGTTGAGTTCTCACAATAAAAATTATGCGCTCAAGATTCGTTAGTCCACAACCTCCCAACCCTACTCGATTAATGTGTTGTGCACCGTCAAATTGTGATCCCACGAGTAAAAATTGAACTCAACGAATATGTCCTTTCTGTTCCATCGAATAGGTAAGGGGGAGTGGAGACCGAATGGCAACAATTACCCCTTTTTCCATTAGGGAAAGGGGAAAAAAAAAGTGGGAAGAACAGACCACACATCCCCACATATGAGGCTGCATTTTGGTTTTCTGGTTCTTCGCCAACCGAGAAAAGGAGGGGAAAAAAGGGGAAAAGAAAAACATTCTTAAGCCTTTGACAAAGAAACATTCTTTCAATGACACATAAAAATGTAGACGCTACTTTCCCCAAGAAAGCAGATCATCTTTGCTTTTCTTTCATTTCTACACAGTTCAAACACCATAGTAATCTTTGAATATCTCGACGGCAAATCAAGACTCCAAAGCACAGAGAAAATAAAACACAAAAAGATAAAAAGATAATTTCTGTCTCCAGAACCACAAAACCCCATCTGGAACAGGTACCACCACCATAGTTAAGAGTCTTACCAAACGCAGGCCGAAACGACTTATGACATCTATATGCTAAAGTTCAAGTTTTTCACCAGTCTGATATACTCATAACAAAGACTACTAGACTCTATTTGGGGCCAATATCCTTGAGTGCACAAATCTGTTCCTCTCCCATTGCAGACATCACAGAGACAACCAAGTCCTTTCCCTCAGCAAAACCATCCTTGATCTGCAAAAGACCATTTAAGAACATTGTCAAGAAGAGGAATCAAACACAATAGACCGAAAAGGCGAAATACCAGTCATGATAAGGCAAAAACATAACAGCAGAAAAGGGGAAATGATCAAAAAGCAAGGCAAGCAAAAGAAATGAATTACAAAGAACAATATGATGATAAATTTGAAACCCCAGTATCCCACTTCAAAAAAAAAAAAGAAAAATCAGTTTAGAATTTAGATAAGAGCATAAGATAGCGAAACGAATCGAGGAAATAAAAGGGGTCATTCTCCAACCTGGGTAAGCAGACTGTCATCAGTTGGGAGCCTCAGATCATCCTTGGTGTTTCCATTTTCAGTCAAAAGACTCACCTACAACATCAGATTTAGTGAGAAGTAAAGCGTTTGATTTCACAAGGCTAACCAAACCGAATCAACACGCAAACAAACTGAACAACAATGAACATACAAATCCATCCTCAGAAATATCTATCAGCTGGTAATCAGTACGATTGACATGGGGAACCTGTACGGAAAAAACACACACACAAAACTGTTATTGTTACAGAAAACAATGAAACAAATTTAGTACTTAGTAGCAAAACAACAGAAAGTGCAAAAATTGAAAGTTGAAACATGAAAAGTAAAATCAAGATCTGGAGAGTACATACATCACAGTTGTGGGAAGAAGGTACAATGTCATCGTACTTCTTGCCTGTGAAAATGTCAATCCCAACAAAGTGGCACTTCGCATGTCCATGCTTTCCAGTTTTCGAGGTCGAAACCTCAACAACCTGTCACAACAAAAAGCAAAACACTCAGAACAAGTATTTAACAAAAAAAAAAAAAAAAAAAACCCACAAAAAAGGGGGGGAAAAAAAGAGGAAACAAACATCCACCTCAACTTAGACACACAATCAAGCCACCACCTAACCTAATTTCATGACCTCAGAAAATTCCCAATATTTATAGCCCAAAATTAAAATAAAAAAAGACCTAAAATTCTCATCACAGAAAACATATAAACGAAAAGCCCTAAAAAAGACGGAAATTTAGCGATAAGGACCAGAGAATCTCGACTAAAAAGAGTTTCCTAGAGATCGAGAAGTGGAAATCGCAACAAACCATCACAGCTATTTACAAAGAGGAAACGAAGCAAAAATAGATAAGGAACAAGGATCGGAGAAATTTCTCGAGAAACAGTTTTCCGGGAAAACAAACAGGACAAAGAAAGTAGAGAGAGAGAAGAGAGAGAAAGGACCGGACCTTGCAGGGGCGGCCTTTGATGACGATGTAGCCGTTCTTACGGACAGTGCCGGCCTGCTGCGGGTAAGTCTTGGAGGCTCCGGCGTCGGCCTTGGACTCGAAGTGGTGCTCTTCACTGTCAGTCATGGCTGCTTTTCAAAACCCTAATTTTCTTCTTCTTCTTCTTCGATTTGAACTCAGACAAGTCTGAAGAAACTCCTTTGACTCTGAAGCACAAGAAAAAGAGAAATAATGGAGTCTCGGAACTCTCCAGGTGGACAAGTCAAGGAAAACCCCTCCAAGTCCCAGATATTTTCTCTCTCCTCTTTCGGTCAGATTGGTTTTCCACCGTTGGATTTTGTACGATCGGTGGCGGTCGCTTTTTTGCCCTTTTTTTATATTATACATTTTTGTGGGGAGAATTTTATGGGAGGGTATAAAAGAACGTGTATTTTTTTTTCCTTGTGCTTACATTTTTGTTTATTTTTAAGATATATTCCAAATTAAGTAAATACAAACACCAATAATAACTCGTACGGATACGAGTGAGGGAAGACTCTCCACTCTAACTATAAATTGAGGTTCGAGTAACTTAAATCTCATATTTTTTTTTTAAATTGTATAAAAAAACAGTAAAATTGAAATCGGTTGACAATAATTGAAGAACCGACCACCTAAAAATTAAAAAATACGCACTACGTGGAATCGAAGAAATTCAGTGAATGGTGTAATTTCTATTCGGTTTTGATTATGTCCTTTGAGGTTCGGTTAAAAACCGAACCGAATTATTTTTTTTTACTTTTAATTAATGGAGCTACCACATCATACACTATCACTATCAATAAGAAGCCCATAATGAGACAAGTCAGAGGACTAAATTTTATAACTGGAAGCCTATGGTGTAATTTCTATTCGGTTTTGATTATGTCCTTTGAGGTTCGGTTAAAAACCGAACCGAATTATTTTTTTTTTACTTTTAATTAATGGAGCTACCACATCGTACACTATCACTATTAATAAAAAGCCCATAATGAGACAAGTCAGAGGACTAAATTTTATAACTGGAAGCCTGACGATTGGTCCAAAAATAATGTCAGAAGTCCGATCAGCTTCTACTTCTTAAGGACCTTCTCACTCTCTATAACTCTCTCTAGAAAACACGTTTCTTCTAATCTTTTTGTTTTCATTATTATTCACGCATATAATTAAGTAATTGATTTGCATTGAATTTATAAATTTATAAATTTTTGTGTCTGATATAATCACCATACGAATTGGTGCTTGGAGAGATGAAAAACAGATGTAAAATCTGTCATATAATGAGTTTTTCTTATAAAACAAATTAGTTACTAATTGCATGGAATTAAAGAGGAAAAAAAGAGTACACAAGAAAAACATGAGAGCAAAGACAACATTGTATTTTTCATTCACTGGTAAGAAGTATATAATACATGCACATACAACCTCTATTTACGGACTAAGAAATATGAGTGGAGATAAAAGTGAAAGACATGGGTTACATACATTATACCCTAATATTAATTTGAGAATTATGAAGAGATAATACCTAATAATTAGAGGGAATTATTGAGAGATAGTAAAGTCTAAAGAAGGGGTTGTACATATAAATTATGGAATATCAAGTGGTGACATCCACATTAAATAATTTCACAACTGTGATTTTTATTTTAGAATCAACAATATATTAGGTGAGATTTATTTTATGTAGATTATGATGCTCGACAATTCTTAGAGCATCTCTAATGCAATGTTATCATTGATATATCAATTGTAAATTTAACATTTGAGTGTAAAAATAAAATGTTTAATTGCTATTGGTTGAAATGTTTACTTTTTTATATAATCATTATAACTGTTACATTTTTTAATGGTTGTACACTGTGATTTTTATTTTAGAATCAACAATATATTAGTGTGAGATTTATTTTATGTAGATTATGATGCTCGACAATTCTTAGAGCATTTCTAATGCAATGTTATCATTGATATATCAATTGTAAATTTAGTATTTGAGTGTAAAAATAAAATGTTTAATTGCTATTGGTTGAAATGTTTACTTTTTTATATAATCATTATAACTGTTACATTTTTTAATTATTTTAAAAATAAAAGTTTACTTTTACAACTTTTAAAGCTTAATAATTATGGTAAAAAATATATTTAACATCAAAAATAACATTATGTATTAGAGCAGAAATGAAAATAACATACCATATCACACGTTTTAATGTTAAATATACAATTGATATTATCATTTGTATTAGAGATGGTCTTATGTTTTTCACTAATTTCATAATGACAAAATTTGATTGGGGGATTTTTCTTTTTATTTTTTTTTGAAAAGGAGAAATATATTCTACATCAAAGAAATAAAACTAATCCTTATCCATATCGCTTCAAACTATAAAAAACCACTACCGCGATAGGCGTTTTATAATAAACTCGAATGAAACGCCCAAGGATAGTAGACATGTACCAAATTTTGAAAACAATTGTCTAAATACACGTACACACAAGACTTTTTAGCACACAAAAAAACAAAGAGAAAATTGTTAAGCTTATATTTAGAGTGCATGAGTCTGGATTTTACCCCTTATTCTTGATTTAAATACTTTTAACTGAAAATGATATTAATCAAGAGTAGGGATAAAAAAACTATAATCATGTACTCTAAGGAGTATTTGTCTCATTTCCCTTTTGAACAAAACCTATACAATCAATGATGGAAAAATCCGATCCATAGAGTCATCAGTCGAGAGACTTGTAGCACCAAGATCACATAAAACTTCGCTAAAAGTTAAATCTAGTAGACTAAAAATACAACCTAACACTAAAAAATGATAAATAAACCATCAAATTGGGGTAAAAACCAAATATTACCACTGGAGCATTTATATAAAAAGAAATAAGAATGAGATTTTTTCTTTTTTTAAAATGGTCTGACAGAATGTAAATAAGCCACTCTGTAATTCTCAGGAAACAATAGAAATTCTATTAATGCAGTTGTGAATTTTTGAGAAAAAATCTCTGAATTAAAACCACATTACATTTTATTATTACTAATTGAGCCACATGTTACACACGTAAAGAATAGTTTTATAAGTTTAATTTTGCGTTAAAACATGTGGCCTTCTTAGAAAGTAAGTCCACTAATTAGAGTGAGCGAAAGAAAAAATATTTTACAAAATCACACAAAAAATAATTAAAGTTACATACGAATTTTGACAAAAATAATTAAGTAATAAGATATTTGAAAATAATTATTTTAAATAAAAGAAAGCAAGAAAAAAAGTATTGAGAAAAAGATATTAAAAAAATAAACTGTGAAAGAATATTAGAGAGAAAAAGACAATAGGTAAAAGAAAAGAAGAAAAAAATTAAAAAAAAAGAGAAAAAGAAAAAAAATAAAAGAAAGATGATGACAAAGTAGAAGCAAGAAACCAAAGTGAAAAGAGTCAGAAAAAGTAAAAACAAAAAAAACAAAAAAAAAACATAAAGAATAAATGAAAGACTGACATAAATGAGAAACAACCTCTTCAGCTTTTTTATGTATATATATTAAATTATTATTATTATTTTAAAATTTTTGAAGGATTTGTTCTTTTTAATTATGTAGTTACTGCTATTTTAATTATTAAACTATATATTTAACGATAATTTGTAATTATAGCAGTTATCCACAAATCATATAGTTGAAATCTTAATCTAGCTAAAACTAGGTTAAAAAAGACGTGTTGTACCGATGAAGTTCTCTATTTCTTTTTTTTTTTTTTTTTTTTATTTTTATAAGTGGAATGAAATTCACGTTTTACTTTTCAAGATAGCAAAGAATCGGGAAAGAAACCGCATCAGATTGAGATATTCCCTTTGAGCTTTGACTTTGAGTTCAAGAGAATAATTTTTTATTTTTGATTTTATCGCAAGCAGCAATAATTTCCATGCACGCCCTGGCATATTAATGTACTTGAACGGCAATGAATAATAAAGATAATGATATGTCGTTTTGTCAAATATGCGACTATGCACACTCATTAAGGACTTTTTTTCTTTTAGAGGGATAGACTATGAGCCTGGCAGTGGAACTCTATATCAAGCCATTTGTTCCATTGATTTGAACATAAAATTTAAACATAAATCCATTGTTTTCTTTTTAATAAAAAAACAAAAACATAATAGCAAAAATGTTAGAATTGTGATTCAAATTAGCGAAACAAAGAGACTCTTGATTGAGCAACGTGTAAGCCTTATGTAATCCTATCCAAAACGTAACCAAAGCAAATTCCTATGGCCTAATTTGCAGCTCAAATGTAATCCAACATGCTTTAGGACAGATAACTATTATATGTTGCCAGGCCATTTTATAAGATGATCAAATGAAGACAACTTATATTCATAAATTCCACAAATGAAAGAACATGTTATTATTTAAAAAAAAACGTTTATTTTCCCCTCTTATAGAAACCAATGAATTACCAATGAAATGTCATGAAAATAGGCTTTACAAATAGTAAATTTGAAAGGTAGAGAGACCTTAAAACTCTTCAAGGTTAATGGCATCTCTAGGCATCTCAAAGGCATCTTTTGGTCTAGATTTCTTCACACCAGCAGTGAACCAAACTTTATCAGACTTGTAGCTCTCAACAGCAACACTTGTGACCTTAACCCAAACCAAAACCTTTGTTTTCATCCCTTCAACCCCACTGAGCTTTCCCCTTGAGAGTGTCGCCTTGACGCGAGTGGCGTACCTAATGACGGATGAGTCCTTGAAGCTGACCTCACAGGGAGACGGCAAGTATACGATGAGCTTACCCTTCGCCTCATCAAGCTCGTAGCACGTTATGTTCCGGGGAAATAGGCCCGGAGGAAGATTGTACTCTCGGAGGAGGTCAGCCAAGGCTTTCTGTGGCTTTCCTGCAAAAGCAGGCGTATACAACATCTTTACATTACATGGAAAAGAAGAAAATGGCTTATCTGTGAATGGCATTTGGATATACTATCTTCAATGCAAATGCTATTGTCAATACTATATTTAGCCCAAAACGTATGAAAATGACACGTTTACTATTATTCTATTTTATACTCCAATGCATAGTACTGTTTTAAATGCTATGTCACCTATTTGTCATAAATTTTAATCGTTGTAACTTGTTGAAGAAAAATTTTGAATTTTCAACTAACTTGAAAATTGCAATGTTGTAAATATAAGCGAGAAGTTAGGACATCAACCAATAGCAACCAATTGTCCAAATTTATCATATACTATAGTTAGTGCTAATATTTGACACTAAGTATAGTGTATGTCAAATTCGATGTTAAGTATAGAATTGTATTATAGAATGGTTTTCTTACCCGTATACTAAACTTCGGAGTTAGCATATAAAATTCGGTATTACCTCAGAGATGCTAGAAGGGAATGACAAACATAGATGCAGGTTTGCACTTATTGTAAGTTAGGTAGAGAGATTCAATTTTGTGATTCTTGAGATACTGGAAAATGAAGTGCTAAAATGTTGTTTGTGAAATTGTATGGGGAAAAAAAGATTGAGTGCATTCCGGAGCACCAAATGTTTGGTCATGGGTCAATATCAGTACTTAACTAAAGTTTAAAGATACAATTACTCTTTCAATATCCAAAGCAACTCCTAATCAAAGATTGGCCACAAATGTTTTGAGTTGAGATATCCATCAGTTAACCTCATTGCCTAATGACAATATACCAAACATAGTTGCTGAAAATTTTCATTTGTTCATTTACTTCACTTTGTGGAAATCCTAATAATTTGCTGTGAAGAAGTCTATGAAGCTTTAATATGAAAAAGGCACCAGAAATTGCGCTTTTGAGTACCGGAAAATATGAGCTTCAATTCAAGGGTTCAGAATAAGAAGATAAAGGCATTAGGGTAACAAATTATGAGCCTCAAACAAGAACTTAATGCTCTCGCTACATTGGCCCAACTTTGTAAATTGTAGGATAATGGACAAAAAATTCACAAGCAAAAATTGCCCACCAAGGAATATATTATACACAATTAAAGGGAAAAAAAAATGAAGGAAAGAAAAACATTTTATACCTTTCAGCTTGTTGAATATCCATTTTGCCTTTTCCTCAACAGTATTGGACAATGTCTGTAACCATGAAAAAAAAAGAAGTTGAAATTATCAATAAGGAAGTATATCCACTTATATATGGTACAATATCCAATATATTGTAGAAGGAAATAGAGTTTGGTACAACTAGAATACATTTCAAAATTTGACATGGAGATACATCCTATTTTTCAATCATCGGATAACGAAAAAAACGATCTGAACCATTGAGAAAAAGTTGTTAATTGTCACCTGATAAAAAATTGAAAACATTTTAACATATGAGATCGTTTTAAACCTCATTCAATGTCTGAGATTCGAACGTAAAAATTTTTATCGCGTCTACTGTAGTTTAATCTAAAATTTCATGTTCTAAGCCTTGAGCTGCCACTAGATTCCTGCCAATAATCTGACATGCGTTCTTTAACTTAGGTCTTAGGTCTTATATACTTCGCAGATTCGAATTTTTAATTTGAGCTGAGATAGTGATATTTTTTGAGAGTTTTTTATTGTAGTATAAATTTTTTGAAAATTTTTTTACTGTAGAAACATAAAACTGAAAACTCGAATCGGTGAAATGAACGAGACCTTAATCATTTCAGATTTTACCTCTTTTGATTTACCACCAATTGGCAAACATTTAAAAAAGCAAATTGGATACAATCAGGCAAATATATAATTTATCGAATGAAGATACGCCTTTATAAGCAAAAATTTCACAGAAAATGGATCAAATTTGAGGCTACATTTTATCTAATGGGGAATCCAAAGAACAGAGTAGCTTCTCAACCTTCTTGAACCCCATTTCAATATCATCCATAAAGAAATTTAACAATTTTCTGTATTTTTTTTCTGATTGAAAATCTATCAGATCCATAAAACTAGAAAATGGGCATGTTGGGTAAAGCAGCATTATGGAAAACCAATACCAGAAACAACCCAAAAAAAAAAAGTTCAATAAGAGAATGAATGAGAGATATAAAACATACAGAGAGGTCTTCAGTAATGTTGGAGAACTCTTCCTTGGCCTTCTTTGAAATCCAAAAGCTCCCAACTTTGGTGAGAGCTTTCTCCATTTTTATTTTTTATTTTTTTTGATTTCTCTCTTTAATCCCAAGTTTTCAAATTCTTTTTTTTTTTTTTCAGTTCTCTCAGACTCAGTCCTCAAAAAACCTCTGGCTTAACGAGAGAAGAGAAGAAGAAGAACAAGATGAAAAGGAGGAAGTTTCTATTTTTGTTTTCACCCACACAACATAAAAACCTTAGCATTAGCAAGCCCAAATCTCTCTCTCTCCAACACATGGATTTGCCTTGCAAACTGACAACTCACGTATATAGCCAACGTTTATGACACAAATTCACAAAGATAATAGTGCCCACAAAAAAAAAAAAAAAAAGAAAAAGAAAGAGAGAGAGAGAGAGAGAGAGAGGGGAGAAGAAGAAGACGAGGGAAGTAAATTTGAACCAGTTCACATTGGAAAAACGACACCGTTCTATAACTTTTTTTTTCCATTTTTTTTTATTTTTTTTAGATTTTTATGAGTACTTTTATAAGTGCTTTTATGGGAAATAAATTATTTTTTAGGTGTTAAATCTCCTTATATTGTGATTATCTATGATAAATGAAAAGGAGATACGTATGTTAAAAAAAAAAAAGAAAAAGAAATACGTGTTAATTTGCTGAAGTGTGGTGCTGTAAATTAATCATAATAATATCAATCATAATTCTTATTAGAAAAAGAGAAAATCATCTGTTCTTGGATTTTCTTTCTTTCTATTTTTTACTATATGGCAAGGATAAGAGTTGGGAGATCACGTGGTTAGGTCTTCAGAACACATTTTCAGAATTATAACCGAAAACAGTTTCATTTTTTTTTTCTATATTCAAAATATTTCTTTTAAATAATAACAAAATATAAATTTAAAAATAGTCCCAACACTATCCTAAAAAAATTGCCATTTCTATTACACATTAATACTAAAATCATTTTTTTTAATATTTTTTTCTCTTGAAATGCCTCGCAACTTGCAAGAGGAGTTGAGGCCCCCGCGGCTGTGACGTGGCGTGAATTATATTCAACTAACTCATCATGCGGTGATTCTTGTTCCAATTATCCAGTGTTAACCGATCTAAGTTAAACTAATCAACCATTTGGTATGATGTTAAGCAACTTTAGTATACCGTATTGTATTTATAATTTTTACATAGTATAATGTTAGTATAATGTTTAGTCTTTATCGTATTAAATTATTAAGTTATATTTATATTGTATCACGTAATATTAAGCAGTAACCTCGACCTAGCTCGAGTTTGGGCTCAATCCCAACCCAAAATGCGAGAGGAGACAAAGGAAAAGGCAGAGGGAATCATGAGGGACTTTTTACAAAGTTTTTTGAAAAATCGGGCCAACCATAATGTTTTAGAAATTATGGGATCAAAGATATAATTTTTAAAACACGGGGTTAATATATAATTTTTAAAGTTGAGGAGTTAAAATATTAATTTTTGTTAGAAAAGTTGAAGGGTCAAAATTTAATTTTTAAGGGTCAAAATATAATTTTTTTTAAGTTGAGGGTAAAAAAGTATTTTGCTGTAAGAAATATAAAATTTCATTTCCATCCTCAATTTTTAGAACATTAAAGTTTGATCTTATTTTTAACAATCTTATTTTTGGTAGTGTTTTGCTGATACTGACTTGGGTCTTGAACCCAACGCCAAAACCACTTTTAAAACTGAACCCTAACCTCGACCTTGGTCCCGAGACTCCACCCAAGTAGCCGTAGATCCAGAACCTGATCCTACTCCTAAGCTTTGATTTTTATGAAAATTGTTATATGTTTTTTTATATGGTCTTTTAAGTTAAACAACAGTACAATACATAGTTTTAACAGTACACTGGGTTGCCCAGAACTTTAATGTTCAATACAACAATTTCTGAAGATCTTTGATTGTATTGTCCTGATCATGTGGATGGATGCTTCTGGACTTTTTTTTTTTTGTTGAATCGAGGATGCTTCTGGACTATTGTCTACTTTTGTAACTATAAATTTTTGCAGGACTAGTTTGCAACAAATAAAAGAGAAACATGAAATGGTAAAAAGACATAGAAGTTGATATCATGGTTCAATAGCCACTTATATCTGTGGAGTTACGTCTAGATAATAAACAATTTATTAAGTCTCAAATATTACTAATGAGGAGGTTATTTACCGATAAATGAAGTACCTTCAAGTTCAAATATTTGTGAGTTTTCAAGTATTTTTGCTAGTTTGATGTGTTTTTGTAGGAATCATTAATAAATGGGAAATCAGGTGAAAATAAGGAAAAATTAGAGTTTTGGAAGCTATCGAGATGAGCCACGGACGAGGGCAAGGACCCGCGCAAACCACCACGCGAAACGGGACGAAAAACGCCTAAGTGCAGCCTTAGGCAGGGGTTGGTGTGCGTTGGGCTGGGCGAGTTGGTGTGCCACTTGCTGTGCGGTCGTGCGCGCCAGGTCCGCAACCGCGCCCCTCCTTACGCTGAAACGAGTATTTTGGACCTTTTTGGCTCTTGATCAATGTTGGGAGGCCATTTTTTACCCTTGGATGAGTGTGTCTGAGATTTTCTTCACATTTGAGCATACATAAACAAAAGAAACCCTAGTTCTCAACTTGGAGTATGAGAGGCACAAAAATTGTAATGACTGAGAAAATATCAGACTTTAAATAATGCAATTTATTTATTTAAGCCAATGATTTTCCTAGAAAATATTATGTGACTGAAGGATTTATGGAATTAATATATGTATTCCTAAATTCTGTAGCAGATTTCATGTTAAGTTCATGTTTTCGATCAAGTAAATTCGATCGATAAATTCTCACTGTACTTTAAGGCGGAATAATTTTCAGTACAAGAATAGTTTGAGAATCTTAATTTCAAGAATCTCCAAACACAGCATTATGTTAGCCGCGTATAAAAAAAAAACGCACTGACATTTTAAAGAAGAGAAAATCCTTAATTGCCAGACAGTTAGGTTAAAGTCATAAGATGAATACCTATAATAGAAGGGTACAATGTGAGCTCGGGAGTTGACACCGTCAGAAACAATGTCATTCCCGGGATAGAGTACAGAAAGTTAAATTTAGAATTTGTTCAGTCTATAATTAATTTCAAGACTTGAAACAGTTCAAGATATTACGCGAGTAAGAATTTAATGTAATATCGAAGTAGTTAGGGATTAATATTGAACTGTAAATAAGCAGTAGAAACGGAACCGTCAGAAACTAGAATTTTCTGTCGGCTAAGTTACTTACTTACAGTCAGTATAATTTTTAACAGTTTCAAGAGAAACTTAAGAGATGAGATAAAAGTACAAGAGTGGGTTAAGTTTGGTTGGATAAGATGTGATGTGATGGAGGTAGGTTATAATTTTCCCTATCTTTCTCCACTTTGGCCGGCCATGAATAGCAAATTAGAGCCAAAAACTTAACTAGTTGAGTATGCAAGTGGATGACATGGTAAGGTGATGTGATGATAGTAGTTGAAGGAGAATTAATGGTAAATTTGCTTCTTCTTTTCTCCTTCCAAAACCGGCCATGATTTAGGGGAATTGAACCAAAATTTGGTTGATTGAAGGAGTGGTTGTGGTGTAAAAAAAAAAAAAAGATTTCCAAGTTGTCTATAAAATGAGCCCTCATAAGCTAGGCTTCATTTTTTTTTTTCTCCTCTCCTTTTTCCCACAATAAATCCGGCCATACAACCCACTCTCTCTCAAATATTTTCTCCCACTCTCCCAATCTTGAGCCACTAGCACACCATAGAAGAAGAGGAAGGAGATCAAGGGATTTTAGGAGGAGACTAGTTAAGCATTCCTCCAAGGGTAAAGAAACTCTAAATCCTCTCTTTCTCATGTTTTAGTGAAGTTTGAAATGAGAAATATTCCTCTCAAATTTCCTTATACTCTTATAGTTTCAAGCCATTGACAAATCTTAGAGGAGTTTAAAGGTTTATCAAGAGAGAGAGAGTTCTTCAAGGGTAAGTTCTTAAACTCTTCTCCATTGATTTCTAGCCAATTTTAAGCTTGGATTTATGGATGTAAATTTGTGGTTCTTGAGGAGATAAGATTGTAATAAGGGTGTATGAGTTTTATGTTGGTTTTTTGAGTTATGAGGTTAGTTTGATGTGGTATGCTTATGCTCGATTTAAGTTTACTTATTTTTGATTAGAGAGAAAAATTTCCGGTTACTTTGAACACGGGAGTGAGAACCCTAGAATGAGATTTTTAGGTGTTCAAAAGCTTGAACTTATAGCCCTCGATGTTTTGAACATTTTCTGTGGCTGCGACAAAACCCCATTTTAACTCTAAATACAAGTTTTAAGCCATTTTTTGAAAACAACACAGGCAGTCCAAAACAGTTTCGGGAACAAACTGGTTCAGCCAAATGAGACCTTTAGAGGCTGAATCTCAGTTTTTCATAAAAATGACAATTTTAGATTTCAACGAGACGAAGAACTTTCATGAAGGACAGATTTTCAAAATCTGATCTTAAGATATAGTAAAATACCAATTTCCGAAATGACACAGTTTTTGGACTAAAACAGATTCAAAAAAAAAACAAAAATAGCAACCACTGTTTTCAGTTAAACGAGGCATTTAAAGGCTGAATTTCAACTTTCTCTATAAATGATAATTTTAGATCTCGACAAGTCAAAGAATTATCATGAAGAACAGATTTTCAAAATCCGACTCTAAGATGCAGTGAAACGCAGATTTCAGAAACTGTACAGTTTTGACAAAACGAAACTAAAACAATGACGTTTTTAACAAAAGGTTATCAAAGAACCCGAGATGTGATTTTAGTAAAATATTATGATTTTAGACCTCACTTTAATGAGGAATAGCCGTGAAGAAAGATTTTAAAAAAAGATTTCTACAACATAGTTTCACGGCGGTTTACAAGTCAACCGTAAAACGACTTGTGGAATAGTTTTCAAAAGTCGATATTCGGAAAGAGATTTTACAACGGGATTTTAGTGCTTGTAACTAAATGAGTGAGTTATTGTTTTATAAAAATCGAATGATAGTTCTTTTAAAAGCTTAATAGTTTTCGAGCAAAATATCCCGACGGGCACTTACAAGCCCAACACGATAGGTCCTTAGAATTTCGATGATTTGATGTGGGTCCAATACTCGCATTAATTTAAGAGACTATGTTAGAGTTTAAATTTCAACAGTCTAAGAGCTAGAATACCGTG